TGTATCTGGCTTTCCCTGTTGAGAAAAAAATACGATTATGAGTCAAATTAGCCTCAAAGATTCAAGAAATTGCTTATTGCTTCACAGTAACCTCAACTACTCACAGGCTGTTTCCATGTTATTTCTCTCTGTAATTCCACAGATGCTGGTATTTTTTCATTACATAACTAGATGGGCAGCATACAGGAGGATAACAACTGGGTTAGCAGAACACTGCTGCYGGGACAGCAAATTTCTGATAGTTAATGCTGAGAAACCATGACATCTTTCCTAAATACTAATAGAGAGAACTTCTGCTCAGGAAAATGCTGAGGATAATAAAAACTGTTACCAGATACTCCAGTTTTCAGCAGCACCATAAGTTGTCATCCTTCTTTGCAAGAAGTTTATATACATTTGGGAAGCCAAGTGACGTAGATTTTCTTCTACAGCTCTCACATTATTTTCTCAAAATACTATTCRAACCCAAGAGGTTTGTACTTCTGTGATTATCTGTTGCAATCCTAATAGAAATATTATCCTAGAGAGGGAAGGTAGGCTGTTGCCCACAGAAGATTGCCAGAAGAGAGGGAATGGTGAAGGTTTCAGTGGCACATTGGCGTGTGCCCTGCGGAGCTGGGCTGGGGGTGGTGCTGGAGGGCTCAGCTGAACTGGTGGGGCAGTGGCTGCTGCTGTGAGAATGGGGAATTGCTCTTCATCTTCAGCAAAAGCRCTCTGTCTCTCTGTTTAGCACCAATAGGATCACTGTACCTGACTTGTCAGGGTTTTCCCTCTAGGTCTTTCACAATTCKGTGCTTTTTTTGTCCGCCTTCTCTGCAGGGTGAAAAGTACCCTCTCATTCATGTGCTAGCAAAATTTGCTTTTGCCTGTGCATCTCAGAGTTTTTAAAGCTGATTCTGAATATTTTTTTTCTRTATTGCTGAAGTATCAATTGTCCCATTTGAAAGAGGTGGCAGGTGTCCAGGRTAATAAGAGATTTAACATCTGGATGGTCATGATGAGGAATGTTTTTACTGCTAGGTGTCTTGTTAAGTAGCAACTAGTCYTTGTGATCTGGACTAATTGTTAGCAGTACAGGAGGAAACCAGCTCTGTCTGGCTTTCATCACATAAAATCATCCCACTAATCCCACTTGCTTTCGATAGAATCTTTTTATAGCTGAAGAGCTATTGAAACTGAGTTAAAAAGGGAGTTCTCAGAAGCAAATTGTTCCTGTGGTTTCTTTCTGTAGGTCCCATAGTAAGATGGTTTGATTTCTACTCCAGCAATTTGAGTGCTTGCATTCAGGTTTTTTTTTTTTGTCATCTTTATCTGTCTAAGGAAATCTGTTTCACTGTGCATGGTATTACCTGACTTTATTTGTGACTTCTGTTATCCCTGGTGGACTACAGCATTTAAAGTTGATTCCTATAAAATAATGCAGTGTGTCTGTTCAGCAGTACAAATACTTGCAGGAATGTGAGATCTTCTGTCTTCTGTTTTAAATCAATTTCACAGTCTTGATCCTTATTATTTAAGGTGTACCCAGACCTAAGATTTCTTAAGGGGGTTGGCTAATACTCTGGTGAAAGCTGTTGCAAATAACAGCAGGCTTTTTGCACAACTTCTCAGTCAGGATAAAACTCATAATTTAATATATGTGCAAACTGTAATTTTAAAGCATTATGCTGGAACAAATAGCAGTAATAACTAGAAGAGAGTATTCTACCACTGTTTCATACTTTGAATAAGTTTTTACAAGTGTGTTATCTGTTAAGCAATGAAAAAGTAATAATATCATATAAGCAAGCTATGATATGTAATTGAGAAAGCAATGGAGCAACTTCTGTTGCATAACTTAGTGGATTTTTTATGAATCAGTTAAGAACTAGCTAGTAAATAACTATTCACTCCTGGAGAGGAAATTTAAATTCATATTAAGGATGTCAAAAAGCATGGAGGAACMGGCAAAGAAGAAGAGTCTGCAGATTTGATTGGCAAGAACAATGATTAAACTCATACAGATCAAATTGAAATACAATTTCATGTGTTCCATAGGCTGGATTCCTAATAATCCTCAGCAGTTTAATACTGGCATGTTAACGATTCTTGCCCTTGCATCTCGAATGACAATGACAGTTGAAGCTGATGGACACATAAATCTGAAGTCTAAATAAGTGATACCAGAACTCTCAGTGAAAAGAGCTGGAGTAAACATGAACTGTGCACAGCACCTGGAAAAGGACTTGCAAACATCAGTATGAAGAAGAAAGCTGACAAAAATAATAATAGACAAATAATCTTCCCCTGTAGCCTGTGAATGATGATAGTAAAGCTGTGGGAAGCTTGATGAGTTGTCAAACTTATGTCAACTGAAGGTGCTTKTTCAATGTTTGAAATAGTGGATTTTCAGTATCTAAACCATACACACAGTTGTTATTTCCTGCTTACTTGGTGAATGTTGAGATTGAAAGTCCATCAAAATATGAAGAGATATCATAAAGCCTTCAAAAGATAAAGTCTTGGAAATATTAGATGTGATGAATGGAGTAACTTACTACAAATGTTCCATCTGGGTTCACCAAGCTATAATGACTGAAGTTGGCCAACATAAGATAACCTATGGAAAGACTGTTGATCCTGAATTTTTTGCATGAAAGGGGAAATATGAACTGCARGCAGTTTCTGGGAATAAGCCAAAATCCTTCACTGTTCAAATGGAGAGGGATGGTTTAGATTCTAGTCCAATTAGATGCAATATTTTCAAAACTTGTATCTCTTGTGGGATACCTACACTAACCTAATTTGGGAACACCTGTCTTGTAAAGGAAACTGAAATCCAGATGATTTGCACCACTTGCAAAGCAAAGTTTGTTTGCACATGTAGTCTGAGTTTGAAAGGTAAAATGATAGTTGCTGACTTCTGGCTATGTTACAGGTTCAACAGAGAAAAAACTGAATGTTGGCACTGAAGCAGCAGCTCATGGTACCTGTCWTTACTAGCAATTTATTCTGCTCTGTTTTATTCAGGGAATCTTTTCTGCTCTCTMTTTCTTGCCTTCGTGTCCTTATGAGCAGGCTGTAAATCTCTGAAAGACTTACTTTAAAGAAAGTAAAATGGTTTAGAGACAGTTTTCTGGAATACAYGAAGATAAATAGGGTCTTGTCATATTTACAGTGAATCCACTGGGTCATTGCAGGAAAGCTACTCCAAAAGYTTCTTGTTTGCATGGCAAATTCTTCTCACTCTTTTGAAAATAATTGATTATAATCCAGTTTATATAGCATTATTTCAGAGATGCATAGCAGGACACCACTAAGGATCCATTCTGTTCAGCAGTCAAAAATGGTTTCTGTTCCTCTCACCTTTTAAGTTCCTGGTACTGTAGAGACCCTCTGCTAAAGATGGAACACAAACATTTTAATTTTATGTTATTTTAAAATATAAATTATTTCAGGAAGGCAATTTCTATTAATGGATCMTATGTTTCAAGGAGGATCCATTCTGTTGTTTCAAAATTGGGATCACGCAGATCCCAGAACAGTTAGTGCAACTGAAAATGATCTGTTCAATATTACAGTATTCTGAGATTTTTTCTTTGAACAATTAAAATTTTATCATACTGCAACAGTAGAAACTGAAGTTTTCTGTGCCAGATGTCTACCTCTGGATAAGATTTTGGTTAATTAGAGTTGGGATTTCATTGTTCACAGAGTTTTCATTTGCACTTAATCATCCCAGAAAATGAGGCTTAATTTGTAGGGAAAATAGACCACTTTGCCTTGTTAAGTCTTGCTGTCATTTCCTTAAGGAGATCCAGCACCAGCCTATTTTTACAGCAAACTGCTGCAATTTCATGGGCAGAAAGGTGSGTGGGAGGAACCAAACAGACCAGACTAGAAGCAGATGGTACCGAGGTATTTTAACTATTGAAGTACTCACGAATCTTGTCATAGAACAAAAATTCMGAATCTATTTAATCCTTCTCACAGCAAATGGCTTTACAACCCTCTGGCAGGTTTGCTATCTAATGCTGCTCTGAATAGGCAAAAATTGTTAACATTAAGTAGCTAAAACAGCAGAAGTCTGTGCTGTGGCTCAGAAGGCCGAAATGATTCCTGTTGTGGGTAAATTCCACACAGAGGAATTCCTGACTTTGTAAGTGATGTTTTTTTTTTTATTTTTTGCTCTGGGCAGCACATTACCACACACCTTAACATCCAAGGTCTGATGTTCAGAGAGCAGGAAAGGAAACCCATGCCACACAGTATTGGGTTTGATTCAGTGTGTTTGTTGCCTGTTCACATTTAAAATTTGACTGGGGTGGTTCAGACTACTTGATTTCAATTTCTAGCTTTTTTTTTGCAAAGTCCTCACATTCAAAAAACTCAAGGATGCTAAATCTGGTGTTATTTTTCTCCAAGGACAGAGATTTCATTTACGCATGGAGAGGCTGAGTCAGGCAGCTCTCTATCATCTGGACTATCAATACTTTTGCTGCAGTTCCAGGACTTAGGAGGTTTCTTTGCTGATCTTTGGCAATCAAATTGTTACATTCCATTTGGGGACTGAATATCTGTCCACTCATGTGCTTAATCGTCTGGACCTATGTGGTTGTTTTGTTCTTTCATTTAATATAGAGAAACTAATATATAGAAGATAACTAATTTGTTTTCCTTTCCCCCTATCCTTGTGGTATTTTTAGGTTGAAAAATTAGGGTTTAACAAGGAAAAAAAATTAAATTTTAGCATCAACTGTGGAGTATTATGGTAGCAATAGAAACGTGTAGCATCACTTATGATCTTAATAAGCCAGGAATGGTTTAGAAAGAACAAAATCCAGGTTACTTTTAGCCAGTTTGGACTCCACATATGAGCAAAGGCAGCCCAAGAACATCAGCCTCGCTATATTTAAAGTGTCTTCAATGTGGGTGTTTTGTGGTAAGCTGATAATGAATTCTTCAATAGCCCCAGTGATCTAATTTTGTAATAGTCCTTTATTTTTGTTGTTTTTGTGCAGGTTACCCTGAAAGCCAAACAGGTGAAGGATTCTGTTACATATACACCAGGTGTGTGYTTATGAAAATCACTGGGTTTGGGTGAAAGCTGTGCCTTTCAGAGACTGCTCTGCATGGAGGTTTTTGCAACCTTGCCTTTTGGAAAAGATCTGCTGGGTATTCTGAGGGAAYGTTTCCCTTTAGCTTCATCCTCCTGAGCTTTCTTACTCCATTTATGGTGGGGTTTGTTCATTTGTTTAGGCTGCTCTGTTCRTTTATATCAGTGTGGGAATTTAGTAGCACTTCCCATATATCAGATAAGCTCCTAATTGGCAAAGTTTATCACCGTGAGTACCTTGATTTCCCAATTTTTTTTTCTTAAGCTGCCAGTCCAGAAGAGCCTTTTGTCCATCCTGTTCCAAGAAGCTTTAATTTGTGGGCAGTTCCCAGTTTGTTTATGGGATGTGTTAYTTTTTCAGAATTGTAACAGCAGTGCTTCTAACAGGTACCATTAGGCTCTCTGAGCTTAAAACACTGGCCCACAACTCCARAARTTTCAAAGTCAGCATGAATCTGCCRGATCACATAATCACCCAGCGAGACAGGGAGGAGGAAATGGAGGAGGAGGGGAACTACAATCTTACAGCAGAGCAGATGGATGTCCAGACAGATCCAAAGGACACCACTGCAAGTGAAACTAGACACCGCAGACGGAAAATTGTCAAAGCACCTGAAATGGCTCTGCTGSCAACAAAAGAGGCATCAGAAGAAAAGGGCAGGGGGAGACGTCAGAAAGATTTTGATAACACTGAGCAAGAGGAAGAGAGTGATGATGAGAGCAGAAGAAGGGAGAAAAGCCGTGCGCCAGAAGAACTGTGGACTCAAAACCAACAGAAACTTCTTGAAATGGCCTTGCAGCAGTATCCAAAGGGAACATCGGATCGCTGGGATAAAATAGCAAAATGTGTTCCTGGRAAAAGCAAGGTATGACTTGTTTTGRCTGAMCTGTAGTATAAATTGAGGGGAAACATATTTGCTACATTAGGAATGAGGGTCCATGGAGAAAATTTAGACCTTTACTTGGCTTCTCAGTCCAGACTCAGGTGACYTAAAGAGTCGTCACACTTGTCATTTTATTTAAAACATTTTTTCATTTATTTCGGTTTGTTTGATCTAATACAGAAAATGTTGAAATAACTACTGTTTCATATAAAATACCTACCTTTCCTCTGCCTTTCAGATCTCCAATTGCAGGACAAATTAGATTTTAAAACAAATTTTGATTCAAAGTTAGTAACCAAACGTTGGTGAGCCACTTTGCTTACACTTTCACAATATCCTTCTCAACCCATCTCAATGAACAAACAAAATAAATAATCCATCTGCAAGTGTTAAATGCTCAATAATCTAACTAATGTTCTTTTTGTAAGTATAATCTTTTTAAAATAGCATTCATTGTCATTGATATAGATGGTCTGTGCTAGATTTCCTRATAGTTGTGATAGCTTAGTTTGCTTGCTTCAGCCACTGTAGCTGCAGAAAAGCCCTGCATTTGTACCAAACACAGTGTGAGGGAGCAAGAAGTGCAGTGGGGAAGGATTTGGGTGTTTCTGTGGTGCTGAAGCTGTTCTGCAGGTGCTGTGTGAGTGACCTTGAAGGCTCCTCTTAACCTGCCTGCAGCGTGGCTCACACCAGAGTCACTGTTTTCAACAGATGCTGCAACACAACTGTTCAATAATTGCTGAGTCATTGTCAAGAAGTCCTGGAAAACTGTTTCTTGGGTTTGTGTGTTCTTCAAACAGATAGATGAGCCACTAAGAAATGTAAATTGCAAGTTCCTTTTTCTAATCTCCTCTGCAGTAGAGGCAGATTTCCCTTCTCAAATCCAGTGTGCGACTTTAGGACAAGAAAACAACACACCAACCAACAAAGAAAAAAAGAACAAAAAAAACCCAAACGAAGAAAAAAAACACAACAAAAAACCCACAAACAAAAAACCTCCACACCCAAAAAACCCTACACAACCCCAGAACCCAGCTGCTTTTCTAGAATAAGGTAGCATGCATAGAGCTAAAGCAATACTAAAATAATACCTTTGAATAACACTTTTGYATTCCCTTTCAGGAGGAGTGTATAGCAAGATACAAGTTGCTTGTTGAACTGGTACAAAAGAAAAAAATGGCTAAAAGCTGAATGCTGTGAGCAAGAAGAGATGTATCTCAACTTTGTCAAAATGGGGTTTTAAATCTCACATGCAGGAAACTGCATTTTTGTACCTCAGTATTTCTATACGTCATGTGCCTTAGTAGAAGAAAATATTAATAAATCTTACACCATCTTACCTCGTTTGTGTGTTGAAGAATGAATGCATGTTTGTATTGAAGAGCTGCTTATGCAGATGTGTGATAACAATGTCTAAAAGTGAGCAGACCTTCAGGAAAACCCTGATAATCACATACCAAATGTGATAAAGTTTGCAGCCAATGGGTATACAGCATAGAAATAACTTACATTTGTTTTGAAAGAGAGAATTCACCTGCAACTGTTAAGCAAACAAGAGAGTAATGAAACTCTGCACTCAAAATATATTTTGCTTGCTTTCAGCTCTAAATACAAGACCATGTGCTTATAAATACCTTACTCTTATAAAAATCTAGTCGTATTTTGAAATTAGTATTTCTGGTACTAACTTCCACATACATTTATATGCACTTGCAATATAATACCTGCTTTTGCCAACCCTGCAGTGATACACAGTGATACTTGACAGCATTGTTAATTCAGGAAAGTTGAAATGGGTAAAAACACTGAAGGCCTTTATTTTTAATTAGAAATTATTTACCAAATTGTGATTTAATACCGGGATTCTGAAAAGTTTTTGAGCTTTAAATCAAAATCAAATTTTGATTAGAGGATCATGTATCTGAACTCAAAATTCGAAACTTGATGGCTGAAAGTCCCCATTAATTTCCTGCTGATTTCCCCAGTAATTGCCAATTGTGCTCCTTCTGAAAGATCAGCATTTCACAACATTTCATCCCCTTCCCATAAAGCTTTAAGAGCTAAGTATTTAGGCAATATAACAKGGGTCCATATGTGTTCCTTTACCAACTGGAGCCTTTTTTTTGTCTCATAGTAAAAAGAAATGTTAGTTGGTAGAAATAACAATGTGATGGAAACTTAGGCAGATACAAAATAATGCATCTAAATTTTTTTTCACAGAGAACTTCACAGCTTAACTGCATGTTTAGAAGTTGTTCTGTGATCTGGGTGCTGATCGATGGAACASGAATTGTGTGCTACTGAAGGAAGAACCTTAGTGAGATCAAGTGAGGTATTTTCAAGATATGTATCAGGAAATCTTAACTTTCAAACGCTAAGTCATCTAAGTCATCTAGAACACTCAGTGAGAGATCATTAGCTGTATAGCAAGGTAATTGAAATGGCTGCAAAGAAAAGGTGGTAAAATGGTGAAGGGAATTGGTGAARATTAATGGGTGGAGCTGGGGTACATGAGCAAATGGAGAGGTATTGTTCATGAAAAATATAGAGTGGTAATGGGAATATTTCTGCAGTTTCAAAAAAAAGCAAGCAAGTAATGTGAGGAGAAGAGAGCCATCCTTCCTTTCCTCTCTGAATTTACAAGACTTTGCCTGGGATGCTGTGCCTGGTTCAGTGTATCACTCTGACATGTAGAGCATCCAGAAAAGAAAAGGTCTTAAGAATGATTGCAATGCTTGATTTGCTAGGCAGGAATTGTTGGCATTTGCTCCAGACTAAAGTCTTCCAGGTATGTAAAAGGCAGCTTTGCAGTTGTGTGCTCTCTGTTTCCCTGGTGTGATCCATATGGAACTGTTACAGATCTGCTGAGGCTGTGAAGAATAACAATGGGGTCAGTTTGGAGTGAGAAATAGCTTAGTTAGGAGTCGGGAACAGTGGCAAATGTAACAAGGACTTGGGAAGACTCTTGACACCTGTATTGCTTGAGATCTAAACTTAACGTGAGCACGTGCCCCAGACGTGCCCACATCCCCACTGGCTGTATGGCAATAGTCACACACTGCCTCCCCACAGCTCCCCCTTCCCTCCACCACAGCCTTTCTGGACAGGGGTCACAGGAAGAAGGACAAGCACTGCTGACTGGTAAGAACTTCTGTTTGTTTGTTTGTTTCCAAGACCATTTGTACTGAGAAAACAATGCTCCTGACAAATCCAGTCCACCTGAAGGAAGATGTTTAAGGATGGGCAAAGGTGGTAGATGCCATTCTGTCACACTYGTTGAGTTGAATACCTGAAGTGCTGGGTCTGATCACGGGTGCTGGATTTGTCTTCTCACGGGTCTGTTACCCACCATGAGTTTGTTTTTCAAAAATGTTCTGTCCATGAAAACCAAGGTCACTCAAGGCTTTGAATTTAAGCAACTTCCACCAACTTTTGTTCTASCACAGAATGCAGATGTCCTTTAAGTAATGTTAGCATTTGCCTACTAGCAAATTGTATTTTTCTGGGCAGTGTTTGCTCATCTCTCCCAAGGACAGATGATAGAACACTATGGAAAGGGACAGGGASGCCAATATTCCCTTACCAGTGCCAAGCTAAAGGAACCTGACAACCATACACAAGTGAATAAATAGAATATGACTGAGATGCTGTGAAGGTAATGGTGCTCTCATTTAGGCTGTTCAGTTCTAGAAAAAAGAGCAGCAGATGCTGTCTTTTTGTAAATGTAGATATTTGGACTGTATTACTGTTAATTGTATTGTTCTCAGGTTTGAACTAATTTTTAAAAAAAAAACATGATGAAAGATGTTTCAGGAAAGATTTTGCAATGTGATCTCTGTGAGATAATGAAGCCTGAAAACAGGAACACTGAAAAAAATTCTCCTTTAGGCAAACCCAACACAAAGATTTTAGTGCAGCTTATGATAAAAAGGCATCAGAAAACTGGTCAGTKAAGTGTCACACAGTGCTACTGCTGAAAGAGTTGTTCCTGCTRACACAGCTTGAGTGGATAAAGTTGACAAAAGCAGGATTTCAGAAGTCACAGGCTGTCCAGAATTAGTTGGCTTCTGTAAGCCATAAAATTTGTTGTCATTGTCCATAAAGCAGGGTTTTGGTTAAAAATCTTCTGAAATAAGCACCTTTAGTCTGTGCTGCTTTCATGACACTGAGCCCAGAGCAATTCTGAAGGCACGAGCAGAGCTCTGCAATTTGGCAGCCAGGGAGCTGTGCAGTGGCTTGGGTTCCTTTGGCATCCGAGGCATTCCACAGGGACAGCACAGTGGGCTTTACTGARCTGGTGCCAAATCAGCCACAGACCATTGCCTTTGATGTCAGGATCTGCAAAATCACTGAAACAAGKTTGGTTTTGACTGCATCTGGCCCTCATGTGAACTTGGCTTTGATGTGGTCTCTTTCCTTAAAGGGCTGGTGAATTGAATTTTTGTTTGGATGTCAGAACTGGGCTTTTCATYATTTCCTTGCTGTTGCTTGTTGGTCCACCAGGACTGTGGTACTGTAAACGACCCATTGCTATCTTGGGCTTCTGGCACCAATCTCTTCTGACAATTTCACAACTATTTGTAACTTTGGCCCTTTCACACTTGTCCATATCTTAGCAGGAGACCGGTACCAGAGTTTAGGCAGTCCCTCTCCAACAACAGAAATACACAAGGTGGGACTTGCCACTGCCACTGATTCCCATGGTACTGCTCCCATTGGAGCGAGAAGACTTTCTGATGCTTTTTTGGCTTTGGCTTAGGTCCATGAATAAAGCCGCAGTCCATGGCTCCAGGAGAAGGGGCACCTGGGATTCACTGGAGGCCTTGTTCTGTAGGCTTTTTCCCTACTCCTCTCCAGGTGTGGCAGTACCAAGGGTAACTTTGCGGCCCAGCCCATGCTCTGTCATCTCCCTTCTCAGCACTGACCCACMGCCAGTGTTCAACTGGGCCAGAACAGCTCCCAGGGCTGTAGCTCTGAACCTTGTACAGGTTTAAGCAGTAGAAATGCWTACATATCCTGAACCTCTTCCCATCAGAGCATAAAACATTCATCAACTACCCCAGAATGTTGGGAGGTTTTCCTAGTCCTGGGGAGGGTGGGAGTAAGTGATAGCCCTTTGCTGTGCCAGATGACATTTCACATTTCCCTGTGGTTAGTTCTGAGCTTCCTCATTTGCGAGTCTTCTTTCAGGACTCCAGTTTCCTCCATTGGAAAATAAAAATATTCAGGACTTGGGCCTTGAGCAGACAGAAAAACATTCAAATGGCATGGCAACACCATCCTCCTGCTGCTTGTCCCAGAAGCTGCTCTGAGCCTCAGGCTGCTCCTGAGTCGAGAGGGGCTAAAAATTATGAGGAAGACATAATGCACCTCTTGTCTGCCAACCCCTGACTAGCATATGCCTCACATTTTGTCATCAAGTGACAGYACAGGACAGGTGAAGTTCTCTTTGCTTCCTGGGAAATAAAAAGCACGGGGTTTAGCTATTTACCAAACTTTCCATGGACAAGCAAATTTCATGGAAAAAAGGCATGGTGCTGATTTTACAGAAAGTGCAGTGCAAAAGTTACAGGGCCAACCCCAGCCTCACTCCCCTCMCCCAGGCACGGTGCAGGTGAAGAACCTTCCCCTCCTCACCGAGCTCTCACYGAGTTACAGCAGAAGAAACTGGAGCTGCTGGACAATAGCCACAGCTCCTGCCATTCCAGTCATTCCTCTTTGAAGGGGGAAAGAAAAAACCTGGCATCAGTCCCAGGGCACCAACAGGCATTTCTGTCCAGGAAGCAGAACCATCCCTGGACAGTTTTGCAGCTACATCAATATCCCTTGAAAGCAAAAGATACATGAAAGATACTTTTTGAAATTTCTTGTAATAAAATTACAAGTATTAAATTTAGTGGCCACATACGAATGAAATCTTACTCTTGTGTGATGTTAATAGAAATATTCCACTCTTCTACAAGACTCRCATTCACACAAGTCATATACAATGATAAACATTATTAAAGTTTATTAACAAAAGCTTTGTACATATCTTTTCATACACTTGGAATTTTACATCTAGTCAAAATAACAGCACATTTCCATCTTACCTTTTGTACAAATTGTTACAGAATATCCACCAGTGGGGTGAGTAAGTAAAATAAACCACTGGTTTACTTTTGTAAAGTATCTACAAAAGTGATTTGTGACATTTTAAAAAAATTCCCCGGAACATATAAAAATAAATTATTTTTACTTTTTCAATTAAATCTACTAATTAGAAATATTACAAATCAAAATATCAATGTTTTCTTATGAATTCTTCACAATACAAAACAGATTCACAAAACTTTATTTACAGAAATGAGGTAAGAACTGTGCAATGTTTAACTAAGAAACRTATTGCAGAATTAA